AGCGGTTTGTGGCGGTGCGCTGACCGCGCGCACCAGAGGGACTTAGCCAAGGACTTGGTCAAACCGCAGCCATGAATGCGCTCAGCTGTCCGCGCGCCACTTGGCCGAGCCCCTCCGCTCCCCTGTTCTCTCTCCCTTCCAGACGCCTCTCAGGGCTTTGGGGCGCCCCTATACTGCCACGTGAACAGTGTGGGGAGAGGATGGTGTGGAGGGGGCCCAGAGGCTGGCGATCGGCCTTCTGGGGGTAGAGCTCGCCTCCTTTGCACCCCTCCCCTCCTGGTCTTCAATCTCTCTCCACGGAGAAGGGCGCCTGCTCCCCGCGCGTGTCCCTCCATCCTGGTCCCACCTACCCGGGACCGAGTGTCCCCACCAGCGGTCAGCTATTGGCCCTCTTCTCTCGCCGCCCTGAAGCCGCCTGGGCAGTGCCCGCGCGCCCTCAGCCTCCGCCGTGTTCGTAGGCGGCGCTGTTGGGCAGCAGGTCGCCGCGACCCCCGCTGTAGACCACCACGCCTGGAGGGTAGTAGAGCAGGTCGGGCTCGGCGGCCACACGGAGCGGCGCCAAGGCCTGCAGCCCCTGCTCCTCAGGCTCCGGCTTGGTGGTGGCGGTGAAGGGCCGCGTGCCGGTGAGCGAGGGCGACGCGATGCGCCACAGCAGGCTCTTGAGCGCCTTGCGGAACTCGCGGCGCACCAGGCAGTAGAGGACCGGGTTAAGGCAGCTGTTGCAGTGAGCCAGGCATACGCTCAGCGGGTGCGCGTACTGGTGGAAGAGAAAGTACTCGTGGCTGAAGGGCACGGCGTCGAACTTGATGAGGATGCCCCAGGCGGTGACCATCTGGTTGGGCAGCCAGCACAGGAAGAAGGACAGGACCACGATGGTCACGGACTTGGTGACCTTGGACCGTCTGCGGGCGCTGGCCTCAGCCAGGCCTCTCCCGGGCGCCACGGCCCCGCCCTGGGCCCCCGCCGCGCGGCGGTCCGAGATGAAGCGCACTAGCAGCAGGTAGCACAGGCAGATGACTGCCAAGGGCAGCACGAAGCCCAGCAGCACCTTCTGCGTGTGGTAGAGGCCCAGCCAGAACTGCCCATCTCCTGGCCGCCGCTGGTCAGGGAAGCGCACCAGGCAGAGCTCTTCGCCCAGCACCTTGGTCGTGGAGGCGAAGATGCCGTTGGGCAGCGAGGCCAGCGTAGCCGAGGCCCAGATCAACACACACAACGCCTTGGTCGAGAAGCAGCAGCTGCCTCGCACGCTGCGGCCGCAGCAGGCAATCCGGCCGTGGCCTCGGGTCCGCTGGCTCTTGAGGGCGGAAGCCACGGAGTAGTAGCGCGCCACGCTCATGGAGGTCAGGAAGAAGACGCTGGCGTACATGTTCAGAGAGGACATGATGGACACAATCTTGCACATGGCCGTGCCAAAGGGCCACTTGAAGTCCAGCGCACTCTCCACCGCCCAGACGGGCAGGGTGAGCACGAATAAGAAATCGGTCAGCGCCAGGTTGGTGACGAAGAAGTTGATGGAGGACTTGCGCCAGCCCTGCTTGCTTTTCATCAGGTAGAGCACCAGCAGGTTGCCCGCCAGCCCCACAGCGCAAACCACGGAATAGACCACGATGATGAGGATCCGCAGGCCCTCGCCGCTGCCCCAGCGGTCTGGCAACTCCAGCCCCAGCTCCCACCACCAGTCTTGGAGCCGCAGAGACGACGCGTTGCCGCTCGCATTGCCCACTGTAGTCTCATTCATGATGGCGAGGGCGCGACGGCCTCTAGGTCATGTTCCAGGGGCACGAGTTGCAACAGAGTCGGACTCGCCCGGGGCGCCGCTTCCGGGGAGAGGGCGCAGGGCGTGGGAGAGTTGAAAGCGGGGGTTGAAGACAGCGCCTGGCAGCTAGGGGCCGAGCGCGTTCCCGGCGCGCGGGCGCTGCGTTGCGCTGGGGAGGGAGCTGCGCTCCGGGTCTGCTAGGAAGCCCAGTGCGGCTCCTAGGGCGAGCTGGCTGCCGGCTCAGAAGCTCTCGGGCCAGGTCTTTGGTACTATTCAGATTCAAAACTCTCTGGGTCTCCGGCTGTCACTGGGTGCTGGAGCGTAACCCACCAGATTGCACCGGAGCGCGATTCCGGGCTCGCGCCTTCTCATTGTAAATACCTTTGTGGGTTTCCTCTGCTCCTCCTGGACGAGGTTTCGGTCCTTTGAGAGATCGGTGTTCCGTCCGCCTCGCTCGGATTGCTTGGAGGGCTGTCGGCGTCGCCCTCCTGCCGTGGAGAGACTGTCTCTCCGTGGTGATCAACTCCCGGGGTGTTG